TCAATCCAGTTGCAAAGATCATCACTCGCGGTGGAAGTAATCTAATCAGTGAAGAACGGATCAAAAAATAATATAATCAATCCCCCTACATTGTGCATCTCTCAATGTTTCCACTGATTTCTAATAATCTAAACAGACGAGAGCAATCGATTTGTGAAAAAAAAAAAGAGAGAGAAGAAGGCGGATCTGAACAGACTCACGTCGCGGAACTGTAAGAGGCCGAGTTCGCCGAGATAAGTGACGCAACGGTGAGCGGACTCGACGGGGATGATAAGCTGGACGAGCGTCATCTTCTCCGAACGCATCAGATCCATCTGCGGCAACTTGTCTAAGAAATCGTCCATCTCGTTTTCTCCTCTCAGATCAGATCAGATCTGAGATTTTGTTTCCGTCGAAGATCTTTGGGAGCGGAGTTCAGTATTTGTTCCCGTCGGCAACTGCCATGCGAATACGAGGATTTGGAATCTCCCAATTAAACCAAAAAAGAAAAGTTTGGTGGAAACTAAAATTTTCTTTATTGGTTGAAAACAATTAAAAATAAACAGAAAAATAAATGTCGTAAACCATAAATTTTATCGGTTGAAAACAATTAATTAATCCACAAATGTGTGCACCAAATGCTTCAATATATGTGTCCATTAGTGTTGATCCTAAATCCAATTATCAATCCAGTTGCAAAGATCATCACTAATTTCAATATATGTGTCCTAGCAAGAATACCACAAATACAGTTTCCTCCACTTACGACTACAAAACCCAGTTCTTAGATATGTAGATGCACATTTTTGGCAAAAGTGTTAGCCCTCCAGTGCAGTGCCTGGCATATGCTTTGCTAAATAATCTTTGATGTCTTATCTGAGAATCTTTCAGCTTAAGAAATGAAGTATAATTATTATTACGATAGTTTGGTGAAAACTAATTTTCCTCATTGGTTGAAAACAGCTAAAAATCAGGAAAACAAATAAATTGCTTATGATTAGAGTACTCACTACTCAGGAACGAATCTATATAATATCAAACCTATATTGCTGACATCATCTTTTTATAGGAAAAAAAAATAATTTTTTTTTTTCAAAATAAGAGCTGTTTTTTTTTTTTTAAGAAGTATCACTTTTATTAATCAACCCGAAACTCGGGAATCCTAATGTCGATTACAAGTTTAAGTCGAACAAAACAAACTAATTCAAACTTTGCAAGCCTAGTTTCGCTCAACCACCACACCGGCGCGTTCCACTAAACCGCTATGTAATCTTTAGAATATCATTTCCCGTTCTCAACCGTTGATGTTGATCATTAAAATATGGCGTTCACCTCGTTGCCTCGGTTACCGGTAATTCCTGTGACATCACCGGAGTAGCTGGGTCATGATGATCTCTTCAAACTTGCAATTTACATTGGCATTAACGTTCTACGCAACGAAGGACGAGGAAGTGGATAGATAGCAAACTTGTAGAATTGCCATCGAAACCTCACACACCTGCAAATCCTGCAAGTACCAAACTGAACAAAAGCGGGATGAGATGAGGCGGCAACTAGAGTCGGAATCTTCTGTTCCTGCAAAAACGAAGGGGTTAATCTGCCACGACGACCAAGCAGCCACCACAGCACTGGGATGACTAATCCCCAACCAAGTCAGTTCAGTCTGTTTGGTTTTTATGATCCAATGGACATAAAATTCTGTTGCTCTGAATTGCTTACGTCATCAAAAAACTGTCGTATTTAGCGTCTTTTCTCAAAGTGTTTCATCCTCAAAAAAACCTTAAATTACACCTCTCTGGTCAAATATGTATTGTATTTAGCTTCTACGCCCGAAGCGTTTTATCCTCAAACAACACACCTCTTAAATCACACCTCTCTGATCAATACATATACATCTACGCTCTCTGTTTTACATATGATACCCGGTAGACAGCAATCTCTTGTACGGGACACTTTGGAAACGTCCCGAGAAAAAGTGAGGGTACGGAAAGGAATTTAGGGGCACGTTTCGGGACGAGCGAGTTTACAATTTGACGCCAGAGGACCTAAAATTTTTATGCTTCTCTATACCAAAAAATTGCTGAAGAAGACAACATCAGTTAAGACCTAGGTTTCCGTTATGTCGTGACATCTTTTTGTTTTGGTTCAGACTTTTAATTCGGACAGAAATTGTTTAAATCTTCTTCCCCAGGTACTTTTTCCTTAGTCTCAAGCCACATTGTTCGCCTGAGATTGCAATACTCCAGCAATGATTAGAAGATCAGTAGTGGATGAGTCATTTCGAAAAAGACCCAAGTTCTTCTTTAGGTCATTCGTAAAGGCAAGATACTGCAAAATTAGACCAAAACAAAAAATACTGCAGATTCCCCTGTCTTGTTTCTTTCATTTTTTCCAACTTAAATTATTACGAGTTTGTTCACAAAGCTTCCCATTTTCAGAAGCGAGAATTGATTATTTGATTGATGTTTAAAATTTCATTTCGAGATCTTTTTCATTAGCTCTAGAATCGAATGTTACTTTTGCGGTTGCCATCTAGATTTCTTTTTTTTACTATAACTGTTTTGATGTAATGGTTTATTGGAAGGGTGAAATATATCTCTTTTTTTAAGGTTTTAAAGAAGCACTCTTTTACTCGTAGTGCTTAATGTTCTATAACTATGCGAATTTTGGGCCTCATTGTCATATAATGAGCAGGAGAGAGGTTACGGAGACAACATAAACTTGGAAATGCAAATATGGTTTCTTTTTGCTCAATTGTTACTCTTCTGATGTTACTTTGATGTATTCAACTTCAAGGTTCAATTTCTGTTTATATGCTATAATGGCCAGGAGAAGAAACAAAGCAAGATACACAATCATAAACCATCTTTCCAGCTTTCTTACTTGCTCTTCTCTATACAATTTCTGTTTATATGCTATAATGGGGAGGAGAAGAAACAAAGCAAGATACAATGTTTATTGGCCTATCTCCATTTTGATGGATCTATTTAGTTCAGTTGACAGGTTTTAAAATTAAAACTAAATTTATAAAGGTGAATGAATCTTGTATTACGGTATTTTTCTACTCTGATCTGTTCCGGATTTTAATAAAATGCATGCTTTAATTTGTTACAATGATCATCTTTCAATTTAATTAAATGCACAGAAATAAAATAATTTATTCATAAGTTTACAAATGAAAGTTAAAATTTTATTTTGAAGCATTTGATTTATTCAGTGTTTAGACATGTAAAAATCATTTTCCTGTACGAAATATGAATGCATCAATGTGGTTTGTCTCTTAATTTTCATGATGTCCGTTTCTTCTAGAACAGTTTTTTCCTTTATAAATGTAGCCATCTTTAAATTTAATGAAGTTGATTTAAAAAAAAAAATTAATGAAATTGTTGTGCACAAAAAAACATTTATGGACCGACTGATAAGAATACATGTGTATCCGTAAATTAAACGATGACTCATAAATTATTCTAATCTATTAAAATAGATCTATGTGTTTTTCTGCACCAAGTGTATAAATACAAGTTTTAAATTTAATCATAATTTAAAATTTTAATGTTGTTAACTGTTAGATTTTATTATTTTTCTGCAATATTTAAATTTTAATTTTAAAAGTTGTGAATAGTAAAAGAAACAAAAAATTATTTAAATTTACGTTTAATAATATAAATGTATATCTTTAAAATTGTAATCTAGGAAATATCTTTTATCTAGCTATTTCGTTAGTTAAAGTATATTAAATTAAATTCTAGTAAAATTAAGAGAAAATTTTGTTAGGTATATAATTATCAAAACGAAAAAACTAAATAATATATCTAAATTTTTAGATATTAGAAATAAACTAACTGTAAGTGATAAGAACATTACAATTATTTGAAAAAATTGCATAAATTTTTGAAAAATTGTTTTAGTAAAAAAAATTATAATTTTTTTAAGAAAAGTAAATAGTATTTAGAAAATCAGAAAATATTATTATCTATTTATTTCTACTATTATATATGAGATATTCTTAAAAGTTTAACAAAAACATAAAACAACATTAAATGTAAATGGCTATGTTATAATTAGTATCAAAATATTTCATGATTATTAATATGTCATATCATTATTATTTTTTTAAAAAAATTATGTAGTGATGACATTTGGCAAAGCTCTTATTATATAAAGATTTTTACCGAAAGTTTTAGAGGAAAAATGAAGCTAATATACTTTTATTAAATATTAAATTTGCAAGATTCGACACCATAGTCACCGGATTTCTCCGTAACCCAGATCTGAAACCAAACTAAAAACGGTTACAATGCTATTGTTTTTTTTGTCGCCGTTTTTCTTAATAAAAAGAGTATTTATATGTCAAGTAATTTTTCTGGTTAGGTTAAAACTCTTTGGTTTAATTTTGATTTGGTTAAAATTATTTTGGTTAAAACTTTAGGTTAGGTAGACTTTCAAAGAAGTCTACTATAATATTTTTCTTTATTGTTTAAATAGTTTATAAAATATAATCTAAAATTTTTCTTTTCATTATATATTTAGTAGACTTAGTATATATATATTTTTGATAAAATTTTAATTCATAAATAAATAAATTTAATTTTAAATATTTTGTTAAAAAAAAACTAATGCAAAACAATCATCACCACAAATTTTGGATTACTGATTTCATACCAAAACATACTTTAAATAAAGACAAAATCTAATTATATAAACTTTTAATCAAAAAAAGATTTCCGCGCTTTTAAGCGCGAGTCAAAATCTAGTTAAATATTAAACGGAAAGAAGAAATATCAAACATACATTCATTATTTTTTTAACATTAGTACGAAAAGAAAATGAGATACACATTCACTATCTATATGGAAAAGAATAATAACAAACCATTTCTATCGTTGACATGTTGATATTGTTGTCTCAGGTGGGGGCTAAGTAATTATACATATGTAAGTATAATACAAGTATTATACAACTACACAATCTCTAAGGAGCATCATTATTATTATACTGTAAGCTCTCTTTAAGAATATGATCTAACACATGACATCCTTGAGAAGCTTGTACCTTCTCGTGGCCGTCCTCGGCGACGGCACTCCGCCTCCTGCAGGTCCGACAACGCTCTTGGCCACTCGATCGTGATGGTTATTGTCATGCTTGATCCCGCCACCGGAAGTATACTCGGATCGGTTGGTGACCCCTCTCTCGTAATTTACGGAGGAAGAAGCCTTCTTCTTCCTTGAAGATGCGCCTTGTTTAGCAACGCTGCTCAGCTTTTTGTCGTCGCTTTGGCACCAGTCGCAAATCTATGTCCGCTCCGTAAACTCACTATAGTAATTACTACAGTAACTAAATATATATATGTATATTCAAATTAAGAAATCCTTTAGTTGACCATGTATATATATATATATGATCACTCTATGTATATAGCCTCTAGGAGAAGGTACTTACGAGTGTTGGAAGCAGTTGCGGCAGTGTGCGCAGCGGAAGAGCTTGTCGGAAAAGCCGACGTCGCCGCACATGCAGCACACTTTCTCCATGTTCTTCACTTAATTAGCTAGATTTCTATTAGAAAAAAAAATTAGCTTGATTGATTGTTTTGTTTCTGCCCTGGAAAGATGGAGGTTTGAAGTGTTTTTTTTTTTTTGTGCAAAAAGGTTTGAAGGTTTTTATTGGATGAAATTGGTGATGCTAGATTATTTCTTCCCTTTAGGCCAAGCATCTATGTTATGAAAATATTATATACACACACATTAATTAGACTATGCGTGTGTGAGTGTACAGGTAGACAAGAGGTTTGCTTGCAGGCGTTTTCAGACGTTTTAGAGAGAGCCAACCTTAAATTGGGGATTTGCTTGTGAATTGACAGTTTTGTCCATCTGTTGAATTTGTTTTGTAACTGTTGCCCTGACGAAACACTCCCTTCGCTGGTGTGTGTGTGAGCGTGTGAGGTTAAATGAGAACAGAATAGTTACTAGCACACAAAAGAAAACTGATCCCATTTAGAGCATTTTCATCTTAGTATTTTGAAAACACATTATATTTAAATCTAAAAGATAATAACAAAATATCTCAAACCTTATAATATCAGTTAAATATTATCAATGAAAATGTTAGTACTAAGTACTCTTTTTATCCAAGTACCAGCTGACATGAGAGATTCGGTCAATGGATTGAGATGAGTTTAATGAGGAAGGTTAGGGTTAATGCTGTTGGGTACATATTTATTGTTCGCTGTTACGACATTTATTGATGTTTAGGTTTTTATCTAACCGGTTTCCGTCCCCTCTCTCTCTCTCTTTTTTTCTTCCCTTAAAGAACCGGTCAGTAACTATCTTTTTTTTTTTTTTGAAAAAAAAAAAGATGAACATTTACAACTATTTTTATAGATGAACATTTACAACTATTTTTATGAGCTGTTACAAAGGGAACAACTATTACAATATTTGGTGAAATATTTGGTGATCATTCATTGTAATTTTTGGTGATCATTAACCACTGCAACATTTGGTGATCACCCATTGTAATTTGTGGTGATCAACGTTGGCTGATGTAAAATTTGCTTTATTTGTAAAGAGTTGTGGACATTGAAAAATGCAAGAAAAATACGAGGAAATATAGAAAGAAAATAAGAAAAAGTAATAAGTTTACTATTTGTTTCCTAGTATATTAAAAAAAAAATAGTTAAAAGAAAAGATATGTTTCGACTCCGTGACACAAGAAACCATTTTCAATTTCTTCTATTTATTTTTGTTATATTGTCGTTTTATATTTGATTGTTTATTTCAAGTCGATTTTCCTACAGTAATAAGAACAGTTGACTCAGACGACAGAGAATTTGACAACAAAGTTGTCGGGATCCTGGAGGTGTGTTACACGTCGGTATATGTAATTGTGAGCCAGTGTTGTAGATCCCAATTTGCTTCACCATTCTCCACAAGAACAAGAAAAAGACAGAGATATTTTGCATTTGCTTCTTCTCACTTATCTGCAAAATTTGAGAAACACGAAAATCTTTTAACCAAAAAAAAGAAAACATGAGATTGTTTCTTTTATACTCTTTTAGTGCTCTCATGTTACTTGAAGGAGCGTATGGTTTTAGAAGTGATGAAACTGATAGGAGAGCATTGGTGGACTTCAAATCACAAGTTTCAGAAGACACACAAGTTGTCTTGTCCTCATGGAATAACTCATTTCCTCTTTGCAACTGGAAGGGAGTTACATGTGGCGTCAAACACAAAAGAGTTACTCGTTTGGACCTGGGAGGGTTGCAATTAAGGGGAGTGATCTCACCATCTATTGGTAATCTTTCGTTTCTCATATCACTCGACCTCTCTAATAACTCTTTTGCTGGAACCATCCCTCACGAGGTGGGAAACTTGTTTAGACTTCATCACTTGAATATGAGCATTAATAATCTGGGAGGAATGATTCCAACCGGCATATTTAACTGCTCTAGATTGGTGGGACTTTATTTAAGTTCAAATCATCTTGGAGGAGGTGTTCATTCAGAGCTAGGGTCATTGGAGAAGCTTGTCGTGTTGGATCTTGGTGATAACAACTTGGCAGGGAAGCTCCCTGCATCTCTTGGAAACTTGACTTCACTCAAGAAAGTTAAGTATAGACAAAACAGTATAGAAGGAGAAATTCCGGGTGATATAGCTAGGTTGAATCAAATGGTCCTTCTTGGCTTAGAAGAGAACAAGTTCTCTGGTGGTTTTCCTCACGCGATATACAATTTATCATCACTGGAGTATTTATACATAGATAATAATTATTTCTCGGGTTCCTTGAGAACTGATTTTGGTCAACTGCTACCAAACCTAGTGCACATACATATGGGACACAATAATTTCAAAGGATCCATTCCAGCAACACTTGCGAATATATCGACTCTTCAAAGTTTGTTTATCAATGACAACAGCATGACAGGAAGTATTCCTTCCAGCATTGGAAAATTATGGCGTTTGAAATATTTGTTTCTTTCTAAAAATTTTTGGGATGGAGATGTTCAATTTTTATGTGCTTTAACTAACTGCACCCAACTAGAAAGATTATCCGCTAGTGGAAGTAAGCTTGGCGGTAAATTGCCCAGCTCCTTAGTAAATTTCTCCACAAACCTCCGGACTTTAGACCTGGCAGAAAATGCCATCTCTGGAAGCATTCCTCACGAAATTGGGAATCTCATAAGCCTACAAGAGCTTAGACTAGGTAAAAATCTGTTAACAGGTGTACTCCCGACCTCTATTGGTAAACTTCTACGATTAGAGCTATTGGGTCTCCGTTCAAATAGTATATCTGGAGAGATACCATCTTCTATAGGAAACCTCACTCAATTAGACCGACTATACTTGGACCACAATAGCTTTGAAGGAACCATTACTCCGAGTCTCAGTAACTGCACTTCGCTACGGTACTTAGTGATTGGACCTAATAAGTTGTCTGGGACTATACCTCAGGATATTATGCGAATTCACTCCCTTGTTGTACTATACGTGTCAGATAATTATTTGACTGGCTCTCTACCAGAAGATATTGGACGACTTCATAATCTTGTTGAGCTATGGGCTGGCCATAATAAATTATCCGGACAACTTCCACACACTTTGGGAAACTGTCTCCCGTTGGAAACACTTTCGCTGCAAGGAAATCATTTTGATGGAGACTTTCCGGATATACAAAGGTTAAAGGGTCTTAAGATAATTGATTTCTCCAACAACAGTCTCTTTGGAAGTATACCTGCATATCTTGCAAACTTTTCTGCGTTGGAATATCTCAATCTATCTTTTAATAATTTTGAGGGGAGCCTTCCAACAGAAGGAAAATTTCAGAATGCTTCTATAGTCTCTATCTTTGGAAACAAAAATCTCTGTGGAGGCATCAAAGAGTTGAAACTAAAGCCATGCTTGAAGTTAAGGGGATCAAAGCATTCTTCTGGTTCAAAACATGTAAAGATTGGAGTAAGCATTGGCATATCGTTTCTCTTGCTGCTGTTCTTCGTAGCTTCAGTTTATATATGTTTGTTCAGGAAAAGAAAGAAGAACCAGCAGACCAATAACTCAGCTACTTCCACATTGGAGGTCTTCCATGAGAGGATGAGTTATGGAGAGATCAGAAATGCGACCGATGGCTTCTCTTCAGGAAATATGATTGGGTCAGGAAGTTTTGGTACCGTGTTTAAAGCCTTATTCCCTGCAGAGAACAAGGTTGTTGCTGTTAAAGTCTTAAACATGCAGAGACGTGGAGCAATGAAGAGCTTTATTGCAGAATGTGAATCCCTCAAGGGCATAAGGCATCGTAACCTTGTGAAACTATTGACGGCTTGCTCGAGTACTGATTTTCAAGGAAATGAATTCAAAGCTCTCATCTATGAGTTCATGCCTAATGGAAGCCTTGATACGTGGCTGCACCCAGAGGAAGTGGAAGAGACTCGTAGGCGGCCGTCAAGAACCTTGACACTTCTTGAGAGGCTCAACATTGCTATAGATGTGGCTTCTGTTTTGGAGTATCTTCATGTTTATTGTTATGAAGCTATCGCTCATTGCGATATTAAGCCAAGCAACGTCCTCCTAGACGAGGATATGACTGCACATGTTAGTGACTTTGGTCTCGCTCGACTTCTCAACTTTGATCAGGAGTCATTCTTCAACCAACTAAGTTCGGCTGGTGTTAGAGGAACAATCGGCTATGCCGCACCAGGTGAAACTATCACACCTCTCTTATGTTTTAGGAAAAAAATTAGTGTAATTTATATCTTCTCTGTTTCATTTTGGCTGTAGTTGTAGATATGATTTTTATTTCAAAATAAATGTTCTTATAAAATTCAATGCAAAATTTATTAGCTTTATATGTTATGTGATTCTTTTATTCTTGGTATATTTTTCTGTTGGTTGAAATGTGGTTAAATGTATAGTTAATGATATTTTTATTTAGAAAATATACAAAGTTAAAGTATTTTTAATTTGTGTATACAAACTTAAAACAACAACTAAGTTGAAACAGATTGAGTATTAATTTGTTAGACTATTGCTAACATGAATTATGGTGCAGAGTATGGAGTGGGAGGAAACCCATCAATACATGGTGATGTGTATAGCTTTGGGATTCTGCTTTTGGAAATGATCACTGGGAAACGACCAACCAGTGATTGTTTAGAGGGAAACTTTAGCTTACACAGCTACATCAAATCTGAGTTGCCAGAAAGGGTGTTGGATATTACAGACGAATCCATTCTTCATAATGGTCTCCGAGTCGGTTTCCCTATTGCTGAGTGCTTGACGATGGTACTGGAGGTGGGACTTCGGTGTTCTGAAGAATCTCCCACGAACCGATTGGCAGTGAGTGAAGCTAGAAAGGAGTTGATCTCGATGAGAGAGAGGTTTTTTAAAACCACAAGAACAGCCAGGCGTTGAAGTGTTTTAATGGTTTCTTCTACAAACTTTGAAACCTACTTAAAAGCTTAATATTTTGAGGACTCTAAAACATTGTTTCCACAATGTGTGGTTTTTCTCATTAGAGTACTGTTAGCGAATGCATTTTA